TTCCTTGCTCAGTGTTCAGCCCTTCTTCTGTGCAATGTGATTTTCTTCTGCCATGATAACTTTGTCCCAACAGATCTTAGTTCAGCTGTGTGGGGAGCCCTGGGATCTTCCTCCTGTGTGTTTGCAGGTTGTCCTGGTGTTTTAATGAATGGTTTAGTTAGGTTCTTATGGCCTGTGGATAAGGGAATATTGGGTGGAGCCAACTCTCTATTCATCGCCTGCTAAGTACCTGAACTCTGTGCCTGACCTCAGTTCCATCATCATCAAGAGTCTGATCCCCTTCCTTTCTGCAAATGTGAACCTCTTGCCTCTCTCCTGTTCATAGCAGTTGGTTTTTAAGCGTTCCTGGAAGAAAGTCTCATGCTTGTCACATACTCAGGTTGAGAAGTGAAATATTATCCCCAGCAATGGGAAGCTGTGTGAGGAACTTTTCTTTTGGTGGCCTCTCCATCAAAGAAAGGGATTGAGGAGAGACTTGTTTGTGAGAAGGGAATGTTGGAGACAAGGCTTCTGTTTTATTTTTTTTTATACATGACTTTTATCATGACCCTCTGAAAAATGTCTTCATGTTTTGATATCCTATCATTTGGAGTCAAAGGGCCAGTTTGTGTGTTCAGGATTTCGTTTTTCCCTTTCATGGTATTTTCTGTGAACATTTTGGGCTCAGATGGAAACCTTGTATTGAGTAGGAGAGTGACCCACTCTTTACACAACTCATATGCTGGAGAAAGATGATGTTACCTTTGAATGGTACTTTGAGGACTGGTTCACAAATTGAACTACTCATGTCTTTAGCCTTTAGTACATTTCAGAATAGTTGAAATGATTGTGATGAACAGAAAAAACGCTGTGTGTGCATTTGTTTTGTCTTCCTTGGGATCTGAGAAGTTGTGAAATCTACTTTTAATAGCGCCTGTCTCCAAAATTTGCTGTTGTGTTGTGTGATGACAGAGAGAAGCCTTTCATAGAGAGGGCCAGTGGAGGATTTTCCTGTGGCATAGTTTGGTATGGATAAAAGAAATGTATCAAGTTCCATTTGACCTGGTATTTAGTTCAGGCCCTCACCTGTGTTTCCAAGGAGTTTCCTTTTTTCATGGTCCAAGAGAATGACTGTGGCTGGGATTTGTGGTTTGAAGTCCGGTGTACTTGGTGCAAGAGGGTCTTATTTGTTGTGTAGCTTCTACAACTGACAGAATAAGCAACATGAATTTATACATTGTGGTGTTTTCAGGAGTGTCGCCTAAATACCCACACGAAGTTAGATATGTCTGAAGATTTAGACTACAGTTCGAGTAAGTGGAGAGACTGGATTTGATCCATGAAATTGGTGTGCCAAATGGGTTTTGTTTGGAAAATAGTTAGATTTCATCTCTGGGGTCAAGGCCTGTACCACTTTCCTCTGTGATCCCTTTGAAGGAAGTAAAGGACAGTCGTCCAGCAGTAATGAACCAAGCTGCTCAGATACAACGGTTTATAATTCCAAAGCGAAACATCGTTTATTTGGTTCTATGAGAGACAAAAAAATGGGTTTGCACTTTTGCATTGTAAGGTTCTCAAATATGGAGACATAAAAGAAGAATTTTCATTTTTCATAAATATATGGTATTATTTCTTAGCATAGAGTTCTAAACAATGCTTTAGGCCGAGCTATTTTTCAATTTAATTTGTGCCATGTAAGGGAAGCAGAATTCAAGATACGTGACGAAGAACTGAAAAGCTCCCAAAGTCATCTCTTTCTAAAAAATCATAGAGCCCTTACTATTACAGTTGTACCACGATTTTTAAAAGAGCAGCTGAGTTCCATTCCTGAATGCTCTGCCAAAAAATCTGAAGTTTTAGGATTCAGTGGGACTAAAGGAGACGAAAAGACCGGTGCCAAAAGAGCATCTCATTTAATAACGATTCTGAAGTCGCATTAAATATCTGCTTCTGCTCTTGTTGTTTGCAATGGAGGAGCCCCCGGATCCGGAGCAGGCGCTGAGCCCCGCCCAAAGCCGGGCCCCCTTGAGCGCGGCCATCCGGCGGCTGCAGTGGCGCGGCGGCGCCTC